ATGAAAGAGGAAAGATGTTAAAACACAAAATATGATCAAATCTATCATTGCAGGAACACTGCAATGACACAGTGTTCCTGCAATGACCCAACCCCGCTGTAGTGTGGCCAACACACATGGCTTCCTGTGCTTTGTATAGTTATCACACTAGCTCAGCTAAAGACAGATCACCTTTAGTAAGAGGAACTCATGCTTTCAAGGTAAATTTAGTGGTTTTGCCTTCGTTACTTCCTGCCTCTCTGCGATACTGCGAGTCTGGACAAGGTGAGCTACTGTTTCCTTGTTTGTTCGTTGTCTGTGACCGAGGCTTCTTCCTGTCGAGAGGAGAAAAGGCTGAGATTGAGCATTGGTTCTGGAAAGTCAACAGAAGCTTCAAAATCAGCCTTAATGTCTCCAACGTCCCAGTAGCTGAAAACCTGGAAAATGTTCCAAGTTTACATAAATGCTGAAATCTGCCCTAGGGGATCGATTAGGTAAGAGAAGAATAACTGGCAGGTGTGCAGTAAGTGCAGGGGGAGGGGTACAGGATACATCCCAGGACAGGAGTGATATTCCCTGTGAGAACCACACGCCAGCACTGTGGTGGAGTAACAAACTCACACCGATTTCTGTTCTCGTTTCAGTTGTGATCCTGGCGAGACGTCGCATGCTCAAACAGCAGCAGGGGTAAGGAGGGTCCCCGACTGTCCTACTGGCCGTCGTGCACAGTCCGGGGGGGGGGGGGGGGAATTAGGATAAACAAATCATCCCCGAGAGGAGCCATACCGGCCAGACCCGTCGGGTAACTAACAGCTTCTCGGAGCTGCTGGCAGCCCGCGGCAGCGTCAGTCACCCAGACAACGCCTCTCACTCAGCACGGGGATCACTCTACCGCCCCCCCGAGGGGGAGAGCTGCCCGATCTTGCAGAAGGCAGCGGCGGTCTGGTCGTTGCTGTGAGTCATTTGCCCCGAGGAGCGGCCCGACCCAGGACAAGACGCCACACGCGCTGCTACACCTGTTGAGCGGGGCGTGGATCTCGGGGCCCCCTCCGCGCGGAGCTGTGCGCCGCTCGCCCAGAGAAAATGAACCCTGTGCCCCGGAGCTCATTTGCTTCGTCCTGACAGCGTGCCCGGGGATCCGCCTCCGCAGCTTCAGGCACGCTTCCTCGTCGGAGGAGCTGTCAGCGGGCCAGTGGGAATTTTTCTACACTGTCGTGGCTCTTAGGTTTTATTTTTGTCTCAAGCTGATAAGTCCCATTGTTTGTCTCACGGCCTCCACATGCCGGCACGCCTGCCTGACGAGCCGCAGGTGAACGAGGTCACGCGAGAGAGAGAGAACAACCTTCCCCGACTCAAGGATGACCCATCAACCCATCCATCCATCTTCTAAAGTGTTTTACCCAGGATATAGCCTGGACAAGACAGCAGTCCATTACAGGACACACAGTCACACCAGGGCCAGTGTTAGGGTTAGGGCTAGTATCTGGACTGTAGGAGGAAACCCACACGAACCCAGGGAGAATGCGCAGACTCCACACTGACCGCACCCCAGGTCCAGGATTCAACCCTGATGCCCAGCACTTGGAAACAGCGATGCTGACCACTGCACCTCCGATCACACAATCCGTTTTCCTCTGTTTCCGGAGGGAGGGAGACTGTCCAAGATAGACGTGGAGGCCGTGACGAACTCAGAATCAAGTGTCTTGAAAGATGGGAGCTTTTCTTCCAAGGGGGGGTGCTGCAGTTCCAGGGGTAGCCAGTGCAGGTTGTGTCTTGAGAATCCTCAGATGTACTGAGCCAGACACGCACAGCAGAACTGATGTCAAGCTGTGCAGCAGCAGCCTTATCCACTTTGGCACGAAGCACATCACCTCTCAACGCACAAATACCTCGACACGCAGCCTGTTTTAGAGAGGACTTTCTGGCCTGTTCTGATGCATGTTTCTCTCTCTAGGGTCTACACCGTGCCAGCAGAGCAGGGCCAGAAACCTAGCGTCTGAGGGGATTGAGGTTCAGCGCTTCCTGGGGCAGGTGCTGGTCTCCAGGACAGGGCTCCTCTACAGAACAGTAACTCCAGGACTTTCCCATTCCTGTTTCTCTATTTCCACAGCTCCTGGCTTAGCAGCAACATTTCACAAACGCCACTTACCAAGTGTGTTACGGACATTCACACAGATTGTAGCACCACAAAGAGGAAACTGATGAACGTTTCCAAAAGTCTTCAGACGCGAGGAGCTGAGATTTTAGTTCCCGAGAATGAACATACCTTATTTCTGGCCAAGACCGTCTCGCCACCCGCTGCACTGATCTAACATGGCGCCGGCGTCCAGTCCAGCTCGGCTGGAGCTTCTCTTTCCCGGCGTCCTCTCGTTCGCGTGCCGGCGGGAGAAAATCCGGCACGCGCCTGTCTCCACGGCAATTTAGGCAGGTCCGGCGTTGCCCTGTCCGAATCTTGATTTTTTTCATTTCTGGGTCAACTGCTACAAAAACAACCGGGGGGTTTAAAACAGTTTCCTATCGTTATGTTTTTTTTTTTTATTTTTTAAAGCCGGGAATGGTTAAAGACTTCACCAGGTTACTATGATCATGTGTCAATATGTTTCGGCATATGAGGGGGTGTTTTAATCCGGATTTGCTCTCGCCCAGGTAGCTTTCCATCCACACTCACAGAAGTCCCAACAACCAGGCAGATCGATACCCGAGGCTCGTAAGAAGCTGCAACGATTTTAATTTAGCAGGCAAAGCTAAAAAAAAGCGCTGACGATTAGAGCTGGTCTTTTAAAAAGCGTCAGTCGACGACTATCATGAATGTATCGCTTTAAGAAAATATAAGCCGTTAGCCCTCGCATAAATGGCACGTTCAATTTCGCACCGCGAAATCACGGTAAAAACATAAAATAGAGCGGAATGTTTCAAATAAAAAGCACACGAAAGGGAAACACCGGACCACCAGACCCGCCTCTCTCAATCGCTGGCCGCTGCCATAGCCATAAGTAACAGCGCCAATTAAAATTTATTATTCTCACGGACCGCATTTGGCCAAATTGGTTTCCAAACGAAGAGGAGGAGAAGGAATTACTGGTGCACAAAATGGTTGAGAAACTCCTCCAGGGAACACGGGTCTTGGCTGTTTTTAGAGGTGTCTCGGGCCTACACTTCAGTCGTAAAGGGGGCACCTTGTATATAGCCTAATAGTGCAATACTTCAGAGTTGTTTGTCTTAATTTGACTGCTGCGCTGAAAAGGAAAAAAAACACGATGAAATAAGCATTAATTATGCTTTCCCGTGGTGTTGAGGGTGACATCCTTGTTTTTAATCTATACAGGAACTTTTTTCATGTAGTGGGGGGGTTCTTAGTTTAATCTGGATTTAACAAAATGGCGATGGGACAACTCTGGGAAAATTCACACAGACGTGTTTAGAAGCACTTAATGAGACGGAAACAGGGTCGCGTATTTAAAAAAAAAAACGTGGGAATCCACAGTTTAGTTTCTCTTCCGAGAGCAGACGCAATCATTTCAATGGCTGGAGGGTTTGAAGCGAAAAGTAAAAAAAAAAACAATTTCAGAGAGCCCCTTTCCGCTTCTTGGTGTCGGAACAGCCGACACAGTTCGCTGCCTGCTCCAGAAATAGACGCCTCTGTGAAAGCAGAGGTGTGAGGGGAGCCGCTCTACGTTCAGGGTGTTTCGTGTTTCGCTGTGTGAAACCAGCGAATATTCACGTCTCGGGTGCTTTAGCCTGGTTTCGCCACAGCTCGACCTGGTTTCGCAGTTACCCGCGGATAACTCAGGAGGAGGAGAGCGAGCATCCTCAAGAACGTTAACTTCCCCGCCTCATTGCTCGTTTTGAAATGACGAGGATTAAGTCGGGCCCCTTTCGCAAATCCATTCCAGCCGTTCTTATTAAAAACCCAAGTCGTGTTTCAGTAGCAGCATTGTAGCATAACGCCCTTTGCAAATCGAGGAATCACACTGTGCCTGTTTTTTAATCCCTTACATGCTTTATACTTGCGCAATGCACTTGTATTTTGTGATTGTTTTCTAAGAGCTTTATGGAAGTATATTAATTGTGGTGCCTTTATGTGTATCAAAGAACACTTGGCCTATTGGTATTTTAAAGCACGCTGGTCTTAATTTTGTATTTTAGAAATAAAGAACTAAAAACGTTTTACTAAAAACTTTATGGGGAATTGCCTATAACATTGTCTTTGAAATATAACTTTTTTTTATTAGAAATGTATAAACCGGTTCAGGGATAATCGTCTGGGCATGAGTTTTTAATAGGCTTTTTATGTAAAATTTGATTTACGATGTTTTTAAAAGGGATATACTTTTTTGTCTATTTTGAGATGCACGTTTTTGTAACTCATCTAATGTGGTGTTAAACAGCTCCGCCTAGTGGTGACGTGTAATCAGCACTACTATAATTGCAGAGCGTCAATAGACTAAACGCTTAGAATAAAACCACTTCGGATTTGAGTCGTTTTAATGTTATTACGGTGTAAGATAAGGGTACATATCCTGTCTATAAATAAATAAAACTATCTTTAAAATTGTTTGATTCTCATTGATGGTATACTACTTCTATTTTACTGATTCAGAGGTAACTATAAAAAACAAAGTCAGCAATGTAAAATGACAAAGGAACAAGTAGAGGTTTATTCCAGGCTGAAAAGAGAAGAAAAGAAACAATGTTTCCACTGTGGAGCCTTCTTTGGGTGTGCTGATGCAGCTACCTACTTGAATGTAAAATTACAGTCTAGTGTACTGTAATCACATGCAGTGAGATCATGATAAAAGTACAGTACAGTGCAGTAAAGCCCAGTGAGATCCGGGTAAAAGCTCAGTACAGTGCAGTAAAGCCCATTGAGATCAGGGTAAAAGCACAGTACAGTTCAGTAAATCACAGTGAGATCAGGGTAAATGCACAGTACAGTGCAGTAAAGCCCATTGAGATCAGGATTAAAAACAGTATCGTGCAGCAAATCACAGTGAGATCATGGTAAAATCACAGGAGATCAGTTGAAAATCCAAATACTCTTTACTGGAACGAATAAAAGTAAATTTAAAAAACAGTCATGTAAATATGGTAAAGCCATTAGATGGCCTTGAAAAGAGGAAATTGTTTACACTTTCAATACAGCTGTAAATCATGAGCCAATGGAAATGGCGACGAGAAATTGTTTCTGTACTGCCCAGGATCATGGGAACACTGTGGATAACCCTAATTCACATCTCTCCAGGTGCATCATGGGAAACCCTTGACCCAGTGCAGCACACAACAATGAGGGAGGGTTTGACACTTAGGACACCTCAGGAAAACTCTTAAGAGCTCAGAACTACAGTACCATGGTAAAGTGGAGGAATATCATTGATGAGTTCACTTATGCTCTTTCGGAAGACAACAACTCCTCTTACTGAGCATTGATCTATTCACTATATTGCTAAATGTCTTACAAAAAAATGTAGGCCTCCCAGTTATTGTATCGGCTACATTCTCAATGGAGAATCCACCCTCCAAAGATTGCTACTGAACAGGCAGTGCAGGGAAATCAGCTCTCCAGTCTCTGAGCGCAAGTCTTGGAATTTTCTTAAGGAATCTCCGGATTGAATTGCAGCAGAACAAAACAGCACACACACAAAATGCCAGGTGTCTCTGCCTCTACAGTGCATCTCCTGACATATTCCATGGGTTTCTGATTACTTAAACTAGGCAACATATATATATATTAACCAGGAATTTTCCTTTGATGATCTTCCGGATGTGTCCTTGAATTCCAGCCTGCTGGTCTTGATTTGGAATAACTACTGGATTCAAACTATTTTTTTACATTTTTGAAAACCACCTTCAAATATCCTCTCTGATGTCGCATTTCCATTGAGCAGGAAATCGAAATTTCCCCCTTTAAACCAGTTATTAAAGTACACTTTCACTCTGTCTTCTCAAACTCTGGTCAAGTCGTAGCTCCTAGGACAGAAACAAAGCCATAATTAATGTCTTGGATACTTAGCTTTCTGCATGTCACTGCTCCTGTTACCAGTAAGAGCGATAAAGTGTAGTGCAGTGGGGATTGCCCTTGGGGAATTCTCCAATTCTCCAGCTCAGGGGACGAGGTCACACCTTTGATCTAAAGCTCTGCGCGGTCATTTGGAATGAAACACAAATACAAGCAGTTGTGCAATACTGGCAGTTCACTTTGCTGGTAGATATTGTAACCTCCACCACAAGCTCTGGGAAGTCATACAGTGCAAAACTTACTTTCCCTTTTTCATGCGGCACTTCGGCATCCGGCAGCTTCTGCCACCTGGAGAGGAGAGAGGAGAGAGGAGAGAGGACAGAGTTAGGGGCCTCGCGCTGGCGCAGGACAGGAGTGACCGAGGAAAAGAGACAGAAGAAAGGAAGACGGGGAGGGGGGATGATGGGAGTGCGAGAAACAGAGAGGGGGGTGATGGGATTGTCCGGGAGCAAGTCAGAAGGAGAACAGAGGAGGATGCTGAACTCACAGCTCATGACCAGGATGCCCATGATGAACAGTACGCCAGCAAACACCAGGCCCAGTCGTCTAAGAAAGGAGTAATCTGGAGAGAACAAGGAGACAGACATGCTCTCGCTACAAACTCTGACAACCACAAGTCAAAATCCACATGCTCTGTCATGTGGAACAGTTCCGCTGCACTGTTTGTGTCTCCTATTCACAAGAACTCAAGATAATTCGACTTCAATCCTGCTCTAAGAGCTAAATATATGCAATATAAACCCTTTGTCCCACAAGCAGTGTTTTATTTGTAGTTTTAATTTAGGAAAACGTTTTAGATCTAATTGTTCCATTCATATCTGCTGAGCCTGAAATTGCTCACTGCTGTAACTCTTGTAAGCAGAGCGGAAGGGATACAATTAAAGGAATCCGACCCCAGATTAAAAACAACAGCCCCAGCTGAGCTCCTCCTCTGAAGGACTGTCAGGGACAGCGTGATGGACCACAGCTGGACTGTGTCCCCTCAGCCCTGCACCTGTATTGTCTTGTGACTGAGCAGGACAAGTGACACCGATGTGAACATTTCAGTGGCTTTTAAGATTTACAGTAAAAATGAAGATCCGGTTACCGTATTTAAAATCATTGTCGCTGCTGTCTTCTTTAACTAAGATAGAAGAGAAACACATGTTAAATGACTGAGCATTATTCTCTCTCCATTACACAAGGAGCCTGTTTACTGGTATGGCAGCTTCATCTGAAAGGGCTCAGGGGTGACATGGTGGCACAGGGGCTTTCTGTGTGTGGTCTGTATGTTCTCCCCATGTTTGCATGGGTTTCCTCCAGGTGCTCTGGTTTCTCCCACGGTCCACAAGCATGCTGGTGGGTTAGTGGGCTTCTGGGGTAGACTCCTGCTGCCCCGTGACCCGGAATGGGGAGAAGAGCCCCCTTTCCTCCTCCCCCAGCTCAGGGGCAGTCTGGTGAAAGTGACAGGTGTGTCCTGCAACATCGCCATCTCCTGAAACTTCTGGTAGACAGGCCCTCCCCAGACACATCATTACTGGACAAGCAGTAATAATGGAAGGCTACTGACCTCCAGACCCTGCTTGTTCAGAGTTGTCCTGGTTCCCTGGGAGACGAACAGAGAAAGGAATTTGATGAAACGTTAAGTATTTTTTTCTCTTGTGTAATTCTCATCTCCACTCTTGGATTCACCTTTCAAGGCGTGAGAATCTGGACCCATGAGGACAGTAACTGGCTCAGTTCAGTCCCTGAGACCCCAGTTTTTCAGGGGCTCTAGTGTCTTCAGTCAGGGGTTAAAGGTCACTGTGAATCTGGGCTCATGAGGACAGTAACTGGCTCAGTTCAGCCCCTGAGAGTCCCAGTCCTTCAGGGGCTCTGGGGGTCTTCAGTCAGGGGTTAAAGGTCACTGTGAGTCTGGGCTCATGAGGACAGTAACTGGCTCAGTTCAGCCCCTGAGAGCCCCAGGTACAGACAGCACAATTTCTGACACAGTTCTTCAGAAAACAGATCAGTCTTCTCAAGGTGCTGTGATGTTGCTCATTTTCTATCAGAATCTCTGAGCCCTGTTTACCTTGTGAGGAAGTGGAGCTCTGTGTTTCTGCACTGGTCGAGGATACGGACGTAGTGGTAGAGGAGGCTGGGAGGAAGAAACAG